CGAGGCGGTTATGAATTTCTGTTCCTGATACTCCACGTGCCCATTCATAGCGGATAACCGCTCTCACTTCCTCCTTTGACCACGAATTCAAAACGCACCTTCTCTCCATACCTACCGGGGCTCAAATGAGAGGCTGGTCTCCGCTTTGCGCAGGCACTGCAACAGCGCCATCTGCTTGATTTGCAGCGACCTCTACCCAATGGTGTATCGGTGACTTGCGCGTTTTCCTGCTGTGTCGCCTTTCGCCCATAGCCGTTCAACGCTTCTTCCATATGCAAAGCCCTGATTTTTTCCTGGAGGGCTTTTTGAAGCTTATCAAGCGATATGACAAATGTCTCAATGTACTTGGTACCTATGTGGAAAAATAAAGGTATGTCATATCTTTAATGTCTCATTCTATTTTTTGACTTTCATACACAACTCTGACCACAGTCGACAGGGGAAACTTATTTTTCAACTTACCCTCATAAAACAGTGTCAAGGGTTTTGTCTTATTGGAACCTTAAAGTATATTAACTGGGTTACAACCTCTGGAACTCTACATGGAGCTACAACACTAACTCCAACAGACAGAGTCCAACTAACTTTCAAAACTTGCCAACCGGGCTCACATCAGGTCTTTCAGTTTTGTTCTGATCAGGAGGTCTCTCTCTAGGCAAGGAGCAGCGGTGACAACAGCCAGTCTTTTGTTATAAATCATTCTGATTATGATTTTACTTCTTATTTTAACCTATGACGCTTGACATAAAATCTACCTACTATTTACTAAACCTCTAGATTGAGCAAGTAATGAGACATTAAAAAAAAATCAATATGAAACTAACTGTTAGTAAAACGTAAATAAAATTTCTTTTATCTTCTTTCAAATATGCTGAACTATCATAAGTGTAAAATACTTAATGCTATTTGATAAATTTCGTAAAGTATATTGTATGCTCAAACTTATTAATAATTATGTTAATTAAGTTATTTTTAATAATTCATCCTAATTACGGATCTATTTTATTTTTTGGATGGTATTACATAAGTGAAATTCAGGCATAGATAATAATTTTTAATTGAATTTATTAATTTTTTATTTGTTCATAGGTCCTTAATTTTTTTCATTAATGGTCCTTAAAAGTATTTAATTTCCCTGAGCAGAAATGTGTACAAACCCTGATATATAAATTATATACCAAATACGAATTAAAAAAATTAAATTAACTTACTTAAAATTGGTTAAAAGAAAACAAAGTTAATGGTGAGGAAATTGGCGGGAAATGGCTTTCAAAATAGTATCAAAAGGCGTTTCCGGTTTTCTCCACCTAATAAATTCAGCTAAATGGGTATCCAAATGATGGCAGCTTGTTCCACATTCCAACCTCTCTGAAGGCCCACCAACGGCCGAGCGGTAAAGTCGCTGAACACTGGTAGTTCGGTCCAGGGATTCGAAATCCCGCTGCGAACGGGCTGGCTTGCATGGGTGTTTTCATGTGGTTTTTCCCCATGTGTAACGTGTATACGAGCCAGTTTCCCTTAGAAAGTCCTCCACGAAGGCATCCTTCCTCTTAGGCAGATAGCCCTTAGTGTGCTTTGCCATAATTAAATACACCAAACACACCAACCTCTCTGAAAAGTTCTATCGCTTCTTCTTCATGTGAAGGAAGTTGCAAAATGTTTATATCCATTGGCAAAAAAATAATCACAAAAAATTTCATGTGTTTAACCGAAACATTATGTTATCCGCATAAATGTAGCACAAAAAAAAAAAAAAAAAAAAAAAGGTGTGGTAATAGCAAGTGCTGGATAATACTCCTTTATTTTAGCGCACTTGCCAGTTTTGGCGTGATATCTAGGTAGTCGTCATAGTACGTAAGTACCAAAATTTCAGCGCACGCCATGGTGCTGCATCTCTGAATGCATGATGTACCATGATATTCTGAGCCTGATCCTTGTTCTTGTTATTTCTAGACTTTTACATGCTTATCTCCTGACTCCAGGGTAGATTTTGATTTATCCATGAAGAAGATGCTGTACACTGTGCCAAATAAAGGGGGGGAACAGTTCTATATCTCCCGTTCTACTGGGCTGATTGACAAAATTCAAATTGCATTTTTCATGTCTCGAAAGCACGACTTAGGATATATGTTAGATTTATGTATGGCATTGTTCTAACATAGGTAGGCCAACCAACGGCCGAGCGGTAAAGTCGCTGAACGCTGGTAGTCCGGTCCGAGGTTCGAATCCTGCGAACGGGCTGGCTGCATGGGCGTTTTGTGGTTTTCCCCATGTGTAATGTGTATACGAGCCAGTTCCCTATAGAAAGTCCTCCACGAAGGCATCCCTCCCTTTAGGCAGATAGCCGTAGTGTGCTTTGCCATAATTAAATAAATCAAACCAAACCATATAACATAGGTATTACGACACAAAATTTGGACTTTTTCTGAAATAATATACCAATTTTTTCCATATTTCGATTTTACAACTCAAGCTGAAATATTAAATTTTGTAAAATTTGGTGCGAAATTTAGGAGAAATTCAATGTGTTCAATTGATCTTGGCACAATTTTTTTCGATTTGCGCCAAGAATATATTACTTGGCAAACTTCTCAATATATGGCAACCAATATTCCTTTCCCTGCCATTATGCTGGAGTGGAAGAAAAGGTACCTCGTTCCTATCTTTTTACATTGTGCACGAGTGGAAAAAAAGTGACATTGTTCCTACTTGCAAATAATTTCAGCAATGTGTCTAAACCACATTTGATGTTTTATCGCTTTCAACAAATATGCCAAATTTCAAAACCTGCCTCATGTATATCTTGGGAAATTTTGAATAAAAAACTGTAATTTTTTGCATGTATGCTTAGAAATAAGTCTACTTTAAGATGAGGGTAAAACTTTTATAGATTATAATTCAAAATTTGAAAAATTTATAAAAATTATTTTAAAATACAAATTTTAAAAAATAAATCATAAAAAATTAGTGAATTTTATTTGGAATGAACCTGAAGTTCAAAATGTGAAAGGACAAATCAAATAAGTTTAATAAAAAAGATTAATAAATATGTACCAAACTCGATTAACATTGAGGAGCTAAAATTTTGAGAGCTAATTTTTTAAAAACTACTTGTGCGATTTTTACAAAATTTGGTAATTTGGCGTAATTAGAAAAAAAAATTGGTGTGTTATTTGTAAAAAACTTTGGTTTTGTGTCAAAATACCTGTATTAGAACAATGCTATATATAAATCTAATACATATCCTAAGTCACGCTTTTGAGACTTGAAAAACGCAAGTTGAATTTCGTCAATCAACCCAGTAGAACAAGAGATATAAACCTGTCCCTTTTTTTTAGCTCAGTGTACCTATCTGAGACAGTCCAGTTGGTGTGTTGATGCCACCAATTTAATCTTTCTTCTGTACATTGGGCTGCTAGTGGAATACAAACACTTGATAGTCAAGTATCCCGTCCCTTCATATGAAGCTTCAGTGCTGGTAGATATTGTCTTACCAAGTGACATCGCAACCATGGGCGTAACAATAGTGGAAGTCCCTTGTCGATTCTGCTTGGTTTTTAAAGCACTATACTAATCTTCAGAAGGGGGGATAACCTTTGATCAACCAGGCACAGGTCTCTGGACAACTGCTTGACTTCCGGGGCGTAGCTAGAGGGGGGCAAGGAGGGCATCTGTTCCCAGGCGCAGAATCCAATAAGCGCCAAACTGATGTTATGACATTTTAGAATTAAATGTTTTCCATCCTTGGCAAGCAGTACGGGGTGCAAAATCTTCAGTTGTCCCTGGGTGCTGAAAACCCTAGCTACGACTCTGCTTGACTTGTTTGGAATTCTTTCCACATTTGAGAAATCACCAGATAATTAATAGCTAACAAAAGATCAACATTAATTGATTATCGTGCTCCAGTGTGCCTGATAGCATTCACTATCTGCTATTCAACTTTCAGCCATAGAATCATTAATATCAAAAATTATACTACGATGATATAAACATGTATCACCATTTTAAACTGAACTTCCTCAAATTTTGCAGAATGGTGTCATATCTGAAGACATCGTAATTAATGTATGTTAAGAGAGTCGACGCTGATTGGTCATCCCACTGGATGCAAACAGTAATATGCCATAGTTGCATATTACAGTTTGCATCCAGTGGGATTTTCAGCCACACAAATTTATCTATGCTTAAAGTTCTTAATATGCATTGCATGCTTAATTTTTAAAGCCAGCGTATTAACTCAAGTAATAAAAATTAAGCTTTAATAGTTTTTTAGAACTTGCATGAATGGAATTTTAAAATTAAGGTTTAATAGTTTTTCAAAACTGGCGTGGATGGAATTTTATCATACCAAAAGACAGCAGAAGCAATATGAGTAAAATGTTAGGGATATTATGGAATTGATAATGACTACTGGAAGGAAATTTTTTTAACTTCATATAAGTGATGTATGTAAGAATACTGTATAAGTGAGATGGTAGTACGATCGCAAAGAATGTAGCTTGAAGTTTATTGTATAAGTAAGACCGTGTTATACATATGACCACAAAAAATGTAGCTTGGAAATGTTAGCTGCAAATAAATTTTGTCGTCTTTGCGAAGCTTGATTCTGAAAATAAAGAAATTTGAAAATATCTTTAGCTACAATATATTTGCTTTACCAGTGCTAAGTGTTGGATATGAATACATCAAAAATGTTATTTGAAAATATATTATCTGTGTTTTTAACTGTGTCTGTTTCAATAGGCCCACTAACTATAACCATGAAACACTGATAATTTGCCCTCCCCCTCTCTGTAACTAAATGGATTGATGGTGTGGAGTATTCATGGTTGTCCCCACTTTTATATAGCATCTATATAAACGATTTACCAAACAAAAAGGCTCCTCTATAGTTCTTGGAAACTTTCTCATAATTAATTATCCAAACTTTTTTGTTTTAAATTTCTGTATTGATAAATAAAATATTTGTTTGTTAGCTTACTGTTTATATTTTATTATAGATTGGCATGAAGAAGAATGTTTAGTTAAAAATCCTTTTTATTACGAATTACCTTTGGATTGTTGGCCATGTGAAGATGTTAGAACTTTAGTGGATTTAACTGGCTTCAACAACTACAGTAATGATTATGTGTACAATGAGCAGCCTTTCATTGTCAAAGTAAGTTATAGTTCATGCAGACTTTTAAGGTTACACTCATATATAGCAAAAGTAGGGTATCAACAAGTATTTCTTCTTATAGGATAGTTTAAATATTCCTGTATCATTTAATGACTTGCTAATGCTATACGAGGAACATAACATTGTGCTTGATAGTGGCACAGCAAAATTCTTATGTAGTGAATCAGACTTCTGTTCACCTAGAGATGTCTTTACTAAAAAGGCTCCAGCCAAAAATGCATTTCAAGTGATGTGGTAAGATTTTATTGTTTTAAATTGTATATCATCTTAATACACAATATGTGTGTATGTATGTGTTATTTATAAAATCTTTTTGCAATGTAAAATTGTATGGGTTTGCTTTATATTTTTTTACCATCCCAATTTAGTTTTATTTTAAAATATATCATTAGATAACTGAAATATAGAATATATTTAAAATTTATTTCTCAGTTGATAAATTTTTCTTTGTATCTTTCTTTATAAACTAGTTATTGAATGCTTCTTAGTTGTAATAATCTTTTTAAATGGTCATAAAATATAACTTAACTTTACCTAACATTCAAGTAACATATCTAACCTCACATTTTTAAAAACTAATGGTCTGAGATTAAAAGTATGATATTAGATCACTTTGTTACTACATTAGAGCTGTTGTCTTTTTTATTACTAGCATCAGTATGGTGTTTAATATCGTAATTTCATATATGATGACGTTTTCCTCCAATACAAACATATGAAAAGGATATTAAAGAAATATATATATGTGATATTTCAGCAGTCGTGATGAAGCTTGGCATCCAAGTTCAGGCATTGCTTTTGCAGAGCGGTAAGGTGAAATCCAAATGATGATACAAGATGATTTAGCTTTTAATTACACATCTTTATTCCATAGCTTTAATTTAATTTTCACTGTAGATCATGCTTTACTTCATATGAAATTCTCCAAATCACATATTCAATAGTAGTTTAAGTACGACTGAATTTAGACTTTATGCGTCATTACTATTTCTAACAAAGGAAAGATAGATTAAGCAGCAGTGAGATGTATAGCACAGAAGGAGAGGCAAGCTTCTGTCTGCAAAATGGCGCGCATTCATTATTTATAGTAGCGGTTACATAACAGGCATGAATATTCTGGAAAGTACTGGTCTAGGAGGAAGATCCTAAATTGCAGAAAGTTAATTAAAGGTTGCTTGTGCGCATAGAGCAAAGCCATCGTATTTTTTATATTTTACATCTTCCCTTCCCCTCCCCCCAAAAAAAACAAGAGGCCGGTGAGCAAAGCATTAGTAGATTAGTGAAGCAAGAAGTATGAGGAAAGACAAGAAGAAACATCCAGGACATAGCTTACAGGCTTTAAATATGTCCTGTTATAAACCATGATCTTTTCTCATATAAGTATAAAGGTTTTGAATTATAAAATTTTACAATGATTTATAAATAAAAATATAACTAAATTTTGTATGGAAGAATAATATTAAATAAATTACAAGCATAAAAGTCCTCAATTCTTCTTAAAATGTCCATTGAAAATGAAATTTTGGTTTTAAAATCCTTTCATAAAAATAATTGAAGTCAAATGAAAGTCTCTTGACGCAAGTAAGTCCAGCTTATTTTCATCTTGTGGACTAATAAGTTCACAAATATTATGCACTTTTTCCAATAATTATGGTTTCAATAATAATTTTTGAGTAGAAGATATTTAAAATTTTCTTTTCATATAAAACTTAGAAGATATACAATTTATAAATAATGTATTATGTGCATTAATTCTTCTCATCGTAGGTAATAAACAATACATTGACATATTTTAAAATAGTTTAAAAATTCAATACAAAAAATTACGATACAATTCAATATAAATAATGGTATGATACAATAAGACATTAACACTTTGAATCAAAAGTTTTGGCATGTCCTTTCCAACAGATCAGCATGACTAGCTTGCTGATGGTTGGGGGGTGCTGGGTACAAAATATAAAAAAAACCTCCTTTCCCTAATAAAAGGTAACTGGTTTTTGAGCATCGTACATTGTATCAAAGAGTTTTTATAAAAATACAAAATCCTACAAAATTGAAATTTAAGACAAATAACTTGTATGATCAAGTTAAAAACTTTGTGAGAAATTTGGAAACTAGAAATGAATATTACTCTACAACAAGAAGAAAGAATTATTTTTTTTTGAAATAATCTAAAATTATGGGGAAAATATGTGTTTGTGTGTTGTGCGTGTGTGGTAGCACTTTTGTGCTAAACTATGGTCAGAGGATCGTGGCTAGTATGAAAAGTGTATAAAACCCAAGCCAGTTTCATGACCATAGCTGAGTCTCCTAACAATATTAAAATAAAAAGATAAAAATTTTGAGGGGATGTTAGGAGTATAAGTTTGTTTACCTAGGAGGACATTGGGCGTGTGCTATTATCACTTCTTACTTCCTCTCTAAAGAGAGGATGCAAGAAGTAATACACATAGTGTGATATGTCGTGTCAAAAACTGTTTAGCATACACATTCATGTTTATTGAAAATCTGGAATGAGGGCCAGATTTTCAATCATGCAATGCACAAAGTGGATTAGTACAATGCAAAAGGGGTTAGAGTTTTCCCTCAAGGGGCCCCCAAATTTTGAACGGAAAAACTCTAGGGAAGAAGGAAAGGCAGGATAGGAAAGGAGCCAGACTGGGAAAAGGTCAAGATCGGGAAATCGGGAAAATTATTTGTCATAGTTAGGGTTTAAGTCTAAATCAGGTATTAAAAGGTCATAACCAGGAAAATTTTTAATAGAGAATTTTGAAAAATTAAAATTAATTAATTTTGGACAGAGATAGGAATTCTACTATTTCTAACAGTTAATTTAAATTTGCTTTCTGGATTAAAAGGTCTTAGTCTAGTTGAATGAACAATTTCTGATTTCTTTTTAGTTAGAGGATTAGGTTTATCAATTTCATAAGTAACTTCAGAATATTGTTTTAGAATTTTATAAGGTCCCGAAAATGGAGGAGAAAGTTTAGGTGTATTAGGATACTGAAATTCTTCATACATTACTAAATCACCTATATTAAAATTACTAGATTTAAAATGAGAATCATATCTTTCTTTATTAACATTATGATAATCATCAGATCTTTTTTGAGCTATTTTTCTAGCTTCTTTTATTGGTGGATATAATTCTTGATATCCACCATTATTACCATTTTATGAAGTAAGGAATCATAAGCTAATTTTCCATGCATCAAGTATGATGGTGGGAATTTTGTTACAGAATGAGGGGTGTTATTATATTCTTCAGTTACTTGAGGTAATAATTTTGTCCATGCAATATTACCTTGATAAGAATTTAGCTTACATTTTAATCTAGTTATAATTGTTTGATTAACACATTCAATTTTACTGTTAGTTTGGGGTCTATTTGCAGCAGTTAATAATTGTTTTACATTATGATTCCTTAAAAAGTGATTTTGAAGATGTGAAAGCAGCATTTCTATCACTTAAAATTTTCTTCGGTACCTGAATTTGAAATAATTGCCTTAAGCAATTTATGTAAGTATCAGCAATAGTTACACTTTTAGAAGCAAAAGTCCAAATATATCTGGTTGCATGATCAGTAATTATGTGAATATACTTTTTAGTAGAATTATAATAATTTAAACCACGAACAGTATCAATGGACAATATTTCAAAAGGTTCACTAACTGAGGGTAAGTTTTGCATTAAACCAAATTTCTTTCGTTTACTTTTCTTATTAAACTGACATACTTTACAATACTTGCAATAATTTCTAACATCTTGAACAATTCCTGGCCAATAATACTGAGGAGATAATAAATTTAGCATTGAGAGGACACACCAATATGACCAAATTGTAGATGTGCTTTTTCAAGTAACTTAGTATGGAGAGACATGGGAATTACAATTTTATACAGTCCTTGTTTTTTGATAGGTAGCACATTATTCACTTTCTTATATTTAGGATTACAAACATTGTCTAAATTTTGATATTCTTTTATTTCTTCCAATGATAATAAATTAACTTGTAATCTTAAATGCTGACAAAGAAGGATTTCCAGGTAGCATGTCAGCTTTAACTTTTTATACTTTATATCAAAATCATACATAGATAATTTTAAAGACCATCTAAATAAACGACCTGTAGGGTGTTTTATATTTTTAAGCCATACTAAAGCAGCATGGTCAGTATGTACATGTAAATTATAATTACCATGTAAATAATAATAAAATTTATCAATTGCATCAATAATAGATAAACTTTCTAGCTCCGTAATTGCATAATTTTGTTCATAAGATCTTAATTTTCTAGAATGAAAAGCAATTGGATGTAAACTACCATCAGGATATTCTTATTTTAAAATAGCACCAACAGCTTCTTTAGAGGCATCAACAAATACATGACAAGGATATTTAGGATTAAACAAAGTTAAAATAGGTCTAAAAACTAATGCATCTTTTAATTTTTGAAAAGCTATTTGACATTCCTTAGTCCATTTATAGGGGGGATATCTTTCTTAAGTAAGTTAAGGAGCTCTAATTTTAGCATAATTTTGAATAAATTTATGATATACATACTTCCTAAAAATCTTTGCAACTCTGACATTTTTAGGGGGTTGCAATTTCTTAATAACCTCTATACAGTCAAAAGTCGTTAATTCGGACACCCATAATCCGGAATGATCTATAATCCGGACCTCAAAGCTAAAAATGTTCTGCGCATGCGCCGCGTTGGCACATGCGCACAGGTGTTTTACGCGTGCGCGTAAGACCTTGACTACTGCGCATATGCGTGTGCGCAACTACAGAATATGTTTTCGCCTGCGCGTTTAATGTATAACGGACGGTGTAAGCTAAAATTATCTAATAATCTATTTCAGTTAATGTTAATGATTGCATTGTTCCTTAATCTTCGAATTGGATCCCGCTTATTATTTTTTGCAGGCTGTAAGAGCAATTTTATAAAAGTAAACTTGAACTTTCGATTATGTCAAATAGAATTTCTGATGCTGGAACTTCCAAAGGATCTACAAAACGAAAGTATGTTTCGATGTCCAACAAACAAAATGTGGAATTGCTGCAAAAAATGGATAAAGACATGAAGAATGTGACAGAGAGGTTAGTGAAAACGAAAAAATTTCGATTGACAAGTTAGTCGGTATTCTCGGCACAGCAATTAACGGGACTTGAACAGCGGAATTTTGTAACTGAACAAGAAATTATGTCTTTTTATAGAATTAAAGAGA